ACGATTTCAACACGGAATTGCGATTAAACTTATTTTTGGCACACGAATTTAATAATACAACCCCCATTAAGTGTATTATTATATCCATGATATAATAATACCTTACTTCACAGCCATAACGAAGTAACTGAAAGAAAATGAATGGTCTACACAACATTATATACACATGTTTCCCTTTGACTCATGTAACCAACAACACATGTATGCAAAACAAGCAGTGTTACAAGTTGACGAAAAGAGAATGTCTTACTGGTAATAATTCCCACCGGGAATTTGAAGTACCAAATTATTCTTCTGTATTTCTGGAAGAGCCATATTTAAGATTTCCGGTGGAGATTCAAGTGGGCCGGATTTATCTTCTATGTCACTAGTCATATTCCTCAAGCAGGAAACAGCGTGCCATGGTTGTTTTTTGGTTTGTTTTTTTTTCGCAACATGAGAACTGCGACCCGAGGATAGTCTCTCCATCTGGTGAAAATGGACTCCCAAAAGAAAACGACGCTATTATATTTTAAGCTGGCCACGTGAAAGCTGTTCGGCTCGGGCAGAGGTCTGTGTTAAAAAAAACCCAAAAAAAAAAAGACCAAAAAACTGTTCACTCTTGCTAAAACTCCTGGAAGCTTGACTCCTGGAAGCTGACTGACGAACTAGGCATTTTCGTCGCTCTACGAACGGTGTCACTAAGCGGCCGTTTCGTCACTCACGTGACTATCTCAACAAAATGGAGATAATCTCTTATTGTAACCCTACACGGTGGGAAAACTTTAATTCAAGTGTACGCGTCTGGCGCAAATAAAGTCATGTATAAAAGACATTCACAGAGGTCGACAACATAGGAAAAGTTTATTTCCGTTTTTTGTTTTTTTAATCTTGAATTTAGCACTGTTGTTGAGAATATAGGCAGGTTATACATTGCAGTTGGGCATGTTTAAAATCATGAAAATGTATAAATTTATTACTCCTTCGAATTATACTACATTCCTGTTACTTTAAAACTGGGTGTAAACTTACCTTAGACCTTTGGTTAAGAGCAGGGTTTGTTTTCTGTAATCGTATCTACACATTATGTTTTCAACTTTACATAAGGTTCCTAGTTGATTTACGTCTGTAGGCTATAATTTTGTTGGCTTGTAGGATTCGTTTGTATAAAATTCTAATTTCCGATTTTTTATATTATTGGCAAAATTGGAGTAGAGATGTCAATTCAGTCCTTTGTTTCGGGAAATACATAATGTTATCAGAAAAATTATCATTCATACGTTTTTTTTTATCTCTTCACGTCATCTCTGAGCCATTTATCTTTTGCTTGTTAGCATTTCGAATATTTTTGCTTAATATCCTCTATTTTGTTACATTTTTTTTTTTTTGCACAATCTGCTGTCGCTTCATCATTAACTCGAGAATTAGATCTGTCATCCACTTCTAGTCTCCCTTGATTTAGGAGGAATTCATTTACATTTGCTACGAGCAATTCTCCTAAAGTGTTCCACTTTGAATTACTGAGCTTTTCGAAGTTTTTAAATTCGTTCTTATCCGCATATGAATATATTTGTTTGCAGATTGAGTCGTTAGGAATCTGTTGTAGTTTAGGCATTGTTCTAGGTTTCTTTCGTAATCTCAACAGGGAGATGATTCTCCCACGCTCGAAGTGTATATTTTAGAGTGTTCTTCCTGTCTCCTTCTTGGCTTTTCCATTTCTACGAACAACTTGAGTATTATTCAAACCTGCTGTTGGCTATTACTGGGTCGTTCACTGAGGATCCATTTTAACCCGCGTTCTTTACCGAATATTTCAATATATCTTCTCCTTTTCTTACATTTAGGTCTTACCTGATAATCTTTCTTACTTATTATAAAACGCAGATTGTGTGTGTGTGTGTGTGTGTGTGTGTGTGTCTGTAACGTTTATATATTGGATCGAATTTCCTATATTTTTTAGCCGATTTCAACAAAACTTCACAGGACTACATAAAATTACCTTGTGGTAGTTCTAACGGCGCCGAAAATGGGAAAAACACATTGTTTTTTAAACAAAATCATTTTGAAAACACGATTAAGACACATCGTGAGAATGAAAGGGGAGAACTCACCCACGAAAAAACAAAACGTCTAATGTTCATATTATTATTAAATAGGAAAGATCAAAGTATTTTGGGGGTATTTTTTTTTACATTTTTAATCGTTCTTAGCACGTCTGAAATTTTCGTTAAAAATATTGTTTTTTTTTTGGGTAAAAAAGGACAGATAATCAATCATTTTTTTCGATTTGATAAAATAGGGAAAGATAATTCCACGTACTTTAGGGTCGTTTTTTCAATTCCCTTTGCAATTTGTTACAAGGCAGATCAATAAGGCATTGGTTCTATTTGAAATTAATTCAATATTTAAAAGAAAGTATTAAGAAATAATTTAAAATGCCGATGTAAGAAATCTGATAGACAAAAAAACAATATTTCGAAGATGATAATTATTAAGGAAAGAACACTGTACTTGTAATAAA